CTCCTTTCAGATTACAGGAGTTTGCATTTTGTCATTATTTTACCCGATGTGTCATGTTCGACATTATAAACCACCGAAAACAGAGAAGCTCTCTCATCTCTCCGTCTTGCCAGAGATGCATCTTGCATGATGTGAAGGAAAATAATTGCTGTTGCATACTGTGCTCAAGATGTTAAAACAATCCCGTATACAAACCTGGACATTTGCATACCAATATCGGGAAGTTCAATGCCCATCCTAATGTCAAACTAGAAAGGGTGCAGCGTTAAGTGTCTACACTGCCAAAATAAGGAAGAAACTAGCGTGTTCACCCGGATGTCATGTTTTTTGACCAGTGAAAAGGGTGTTGAAGGGGAGAAAAAAAGAAGAGGAGCTCGCTAGTGTCAAATATATGAATCATATAGGAGAGAAATGCGTGGGAAGAATATAAAGATGCCACTAAGTAAAGCAAGAGAGCAACAACAACATGGTGACATTAAGAGGGGAAACTAGCCTCTGATCTGGCAGACTATAATGAAGTACAGCAATGTTTCTTCAAAGAGGTTCTTTAGATGGGAATCATCAACACACACACACACACACACACATACAGAGAGAGAGAGCAACAACCTCAGGTCACCTCAAACACTCAGCCTTTTACAGATGAGGTGTAAAGGTGAACAGTAATGAAACCATGCTGCCTAAAGCGAAGCCCCTGGTGTCACAAATATCACTTCGAACAGAACTTTGAAGAGTTTCTCACACACACACACACACACACACACACACACACACACACACACACACACACTTCAGTTGGTTGATGTCTCCCCCACGCTGGACATATATCGACTCTGCAGACCGAACTTTTATTTCTAAAAGTTTCTCATGTTGTCTCTCTTTTGCCCTCTCTTCCTGTTGGACAATTTCCATGCATGTACTTTACCATCTCTAAAACACACACAGAAAACATAGTGTTCAAAACCCTTTATTTCTTTACTTCCAACTCAATAAACACATTAATCCTCATTAGATTGTGGACTCACTATAAACATCTATACAAATGCAAAGTCAGTATTCATCAAAAATTAAGCTTAAAGAAACAAGCTGGTTTCCCTCCCAGTTCCTTCATCCATCCATCTTGTCCCTCCTGTCCCATCCTGTCGCTTTCCTGTTTAACCTCACCTCCTCTTACTGCAGCTAGAATATATGGCTCACCCTTTATGCAAATACACAGGAAAGTCCACACACAAACAGAAATGCACTAAACATGTGCACACACACACACAGCGAGATAAACAGAGCTTTTTTGAAATGCCAGACTTAATTCCACACAACAGTGGAGCGCAGCAATTTATCAAGTGTCAACCAAGCAACTCAAAATTTGCTCGGTGCACTCTGTTTTTCAGTTGAATGTAAAGGTTAGGATAAATTTAACATCCAACCAAACTCAAAGAATGATGTTAAAAGTTTGGTGTGGTCAATGTCAGATTTCAGCCGCATTTTTCTTCAATGCATGGAAAAGAAAAACAACAAGTCGGAGTTATGAGGGTGTCAGCGTTCAGCATCATATCTCTGTGAACAGACCAAAGCTTTAATAGGCCTTGAATCTGTTGCCAGCTCTTAGCTTGTTATTGGTTGCATTCCAACACAGCAAAAGCAACACTCCCCAAGGCCACTGCTCGCAACACACAAACATTTCATCAACATTTTCACTGGTCACCTTTTGCCACGTGAATGCACGGAACATCCTCACAGATCTGTAAACATGAAACGCTCAGGGTCCCCTCAAGACTCAGTTGCTAATTTTTCCACAAGACGTCAGCTAAATGCAATTAATCGACTTCTTGGACAGAGAACTACATCAGGGACTTCTGGAATGACTCACTGGATGATGTACGCTGCCCACATCAAACAGATACATGTCCGCCTAAAGGTTGTTTTTTTTTTAGAGCAGCAGAATATAAGATATCTCAAGTAGTGGACAACATATTCATTACTTCTATTCTCGACCATGCAGGTTATAAGGAGCCATCTGGTTTTCACTGCAGGAAGATAATCAGTGACAAATTCAAACTTGTGATACCAGATGGGAGCAGTTAACTAGCTGGTAAGATAGAAAACGTGGGCTGTCCTGTGTAGTGTATGTTTTCAAGCTGGAATCAGATGATTTCATGTACCATTGTGGAGGGTGAATAAATATTATTTTAGCAGCCGAGGATGCATCTCAAATGGGGATTTGGAATGAGGGGAATATCAGCAGGACAACAGGTTATGTCCACTTACTTTGACAAATGGTGTCTTTTGAAGGTCTGTTGGCTTGTTATGCAGTTGTTGAGAGCTTAAGGCTCATGATGGAACATATTGAGAGACTGATAAACACAAAATGTTCCTTAACTTGAATCAGGATGGATGAACTCAAGAAAACAGGTACAGACTAACCTGTTTATATTCTTCTACTTCTTGTGCTTCAAAAATATTTTTTTACACCGAACACTTCATCAAGCTACTTTGGTCGGAGCATGTCATTCACACTTGGTATGTGTATCATTAAGTCCCAAGGGAAATTCAGTGTTTCGCTCAAATTTCAAAGTCCTAGCAAAGAGCTGCTATATAAAGAAAGAGGAATAACGTCAACATGTTGTAGTTGCACAACGTTCTTTGCATCAATCTACTGTTTCCCACTTCAAGTCTGATCAGCCCAGACATAAAGGCTTCTCTGTAGCTTGTTTGCACAGAATGTCATCACTGCCGCTTTGAGAAAAAAAAAGACAAGAACACAGTATTGTTACTGAGAAACAGGTGTTTGTGTTGTACAGGCTGATTTCAATAGCAGCCACTGCAGTGAGAGGTGAATTAAGTTGACTTCCTGCTGCCTGTTTACATAAACCACAGCAGTGAGGACAAAGGACAGTGTCCTCAGGCCCATCAATTCTAGGCTGACGCGAAACTCTTTCTCTCTCCATCAGAAGGGAATTTAATTTATTAAATCTGTGCTGACAGTTAGTAAAGTGGGCTCCAAGTTAAATGAGAAATTAGAGTTGAGAAGACCAATTTGACTTGCAATTTCACCTCATCATGACTAATTCAAAAGAGACTGAGGAATTACTGACTGAGCTGATTGAATCAAGGGTTTCCACTTCCACCGGCTGCAGCGATCCCTTTATTTTTTAACATGGCCTTAATTGTCATCTCACTGACAGTCAGGTAGGAAACTCTGCATGAAACCCAGCAAATAAGAAAAAGGATTTCAAATAAAGGCATCATCCTGCACAAATATGCAAATACGCCATAGTGGTGTTTGCATATTATGGCTACTAAAAGCAGAAGACTTTCATTCTGAGGTATTTACACTCAACAGAAGTAGTACATCAAAGACTTTTCTTAAATTGTGGCTTGGCAAAAAGAAAATATATATTTTCTTAAAATCTGATTTGCAAATTGACCAGTGACAATTCAGCTTTGACTTGGAGGAGATTTTTCTGAAAATAAATGACTTTAACCCCTTTTCAGCATTTCTACATAGAAAAATTGTAACAAAGCCGCTTACATCTGCTTCACCTTCCTAGTTTCACCTTGAAATGTAAAAGCTTCATTTCTGCGGCCACCAGTCATGGTTAATCCATACTCGACAACAAAAAAACATCTAAGACCTTGGCTGCCCAAAGCAGTGTTTTTAGTTGTGGCTTGATTAGGAGCAACGCACCCTGAATCTCAATGTGTTGTTGAATAGAAAATGGAACACATTATAAACTCCCTGCGTGTGTTGGATCAGGCTCATCCTGATTGCACATTGTTCACCTTTAATTATAGGGTAGAAATTAAAGAAAGAAATGCAAATTGCATGTGTGGAAAACAGAAAGCATAAATTAGAATGATTCTGAACACTGTGGATTCTGTTATTCTACTTCAACAATTAACCAACTTTAGAAAATGTCACAACACAAACAGCAAAGTATTTTTACTTTATAAATCTACTTTG